GCAACTTCATGATTTTATGATCCTATCATTCCTCAGACGCAAGCAGTGCAAATACTGTGCCCTTATATTTATTTGCAATCTCTAATTATTATTATTATCATCATCATCATTAATGACAGTTTCTAATATCTATCTGCTCAGTTAACAACTACAGGAATTATGTACATGTGTGTAATGTGTCATCATTAGAGATGGGGGTATTTGTATATGAATATTCCCCCCACAGGTGGAGATAATGAGGGTCCTGGTCCACTCACTACTGTATTCCGCTTCTGTCACGACCGTCGTGGAGCCTTCCAATGACTCCAGAGATCTCCTTCAGCTTGCCACTCCTGGCAGGAGACAGGATGACAAGCCTCTCTGCTAGGTCAAAGAGTGGCTCGCTGAACGCGATCTCCAGAGCCACTGGAAGGCTCTGTGGCGGTTGCAGCAGACGCGAGTGTACCATCCAGCCCCATGGGGCCGGATCTTCGTTATCTCCACCTGTGGGGGAATATTCATATTCATATATGAATATTCCCCCCCCCCATCTCTAGTCATCATGTTACAGCAACCTAAGAGGGCATTCAAGATAAGTGAGATGTTTAAGGAGTGGTTTTACAAGTGCCAAACCACCGCAGGTGTGTTTCTATGGCTGAGCTTGGATTCTAACTCAGGACTGCTGAATCCTAGTCTGTCAGTCTAACCGCTACATATTGGGTACCTAGTCATTTCCTGCTTGATCAACATTCTATTTGGGTTTTTTTAATATTTAGATTTCTAATTTTATTAAGCAGTCAAATTTCACCCACCAGTGTTCTGTTAGCAGTCACAGGTAATACCACGATTAAGAGAATGGGTTATATACTGGACATGTCACAGGCTTAGACATAGCACATTATTTGGCCCTATGCAACCCGCTCTCCAGAAAGAGTGCTTCCAGAAAGAACCAATCAGAAGAAACTGTACAGGTACTCCATCTTTTGTTCCATAGCAGCATTTTTGAGAAAGGTAAAACAAGATGGAAGGGCTACAGAAGATAATGGGGACTGTACCTTTTCTAAAATTCCACGAATGAGGCAGAGCAAACGTATGATGGAATCTGAAAGCATCCTCAGTCCCTCATCTCTAATATAGGGCACGGATCTTTTCAGTGGTTGTCATCTTACCCACCGAAGGCTTTTTACAGGTTGACTCCCATGATAACTATGTACAGGACAGTTGCTAGGATATTGGACTGGGCCATTGGATATCCAGGTTCAAGCCCCTAATGAGCTATGAAACCTACTAGGTAACTATGTGACAGAACTTTCACTCAATCTGGCCCACCTTGCAGGACTGGTTTGAGGGTAAAGTTTGAGGGAAGTGGGCCAGGTAAGCCACCTTGAGCTCATGATAGAAAGGCAGGCTAGCATAAATGAATACCTTAATGTTCATCCCTGAGATTGTTTGCCCATGCCACCTGCCCCATCCCTTATGACGCCGCAGGTTCCTATCCTGAGGGAGGCCCAGAAATCTATGACTACGAAGTAAGCCTTCTGTAATGCGATGTGTGGCCATCACATTACAGAACACCCTGCCAGCAGAGGTACCCCAGGTCTCTTTCCTCCTAGCACTCCAAAAGGCCATTAAAACACACCTCTTCAGAGGAGCTTTTCAGGATATTGTCCCCGTATGATAGCTTATTACGCTGTTATATTTTTAATTTTATTTTCTGATTGCTATCATTGCAGCATAAATTTAAAACGCTGTACTGCAAGCTAAAACTGTGCTCACGACCTGGGGTTCAAATCCCAGGTAGCCGGCTCAAGGTTGACTCAGCCTTCCATCCTTCCGAGGTCGGTAAAATGAGTACCCAGCTTGCTGGGGGGGCAATGTGTAGCCTGTATAATTAAAATTGTAAACCACCCGGAGAGTGCTTGTAGCACTATGGGGTGGTATATAAGTCCAATAAATAAATAATAAATAAAATAAATAATAGATTTCTCAGGTGGGGGAGGTTGAGTGTTTGAGTGGGGGGTGTGCCTTTTTTACATATGTAAGTTGCCCAGAAGGCATGCCAGTAGAAGGGAGGAATAAAAATCGAATAAATAAATCCCATAAAGTTACTAGGCCTACAAAACAAAGACTTTTAAAAAATGTAGTACAGTACATGTTAATCTCCTGGTAGCTGGCACAGGAGAAACACAGAATAACATTTCTACGATGGCCATAATAGTCAAGGCATTTGTCTTCTAGCTGCCCAATTTTCTCTTCTGGCTTTCCACTGAATTGCCTGCATCAAATTCCTCCCTGCCTAGGGCTAACAGGGTACTGATCTTATCACTAATTTTCATTTAACAATTAGTTGGTAAGGGTTTTTTTAAAAAATATTGACTAGTTTTAATTACTAATTTATTTGCTGACCATTTTTCAAGACTGGATTTTTGAAAACCCATCTGCTGTTTTGACTTTCACAGTCTTTAAATACACTATTTTAAAATGCTTTCTTGCAGTTTTGCTGGTATACAGAGCTGCTGATGCACTGCATCAATTATAAAAACTTTTTAAAATATTTTCTTTCCCTTCTCTTAAAAGGCAGGTCAAAAAGCTGCTTGCAGCCAAAGTTACTGCTGTGGCTGATATCCTGAAGTGGCTTGCTTATTAAGCCATTTCGCAATACAGTACTGGCAAATTGAAAGATCAAGGCTTGCTCTGAATGTGTTCCAGCATCACATGCACTGGAACCTATTCAAACCAGAGAAGCCCTATGAGTACCAGGAAAGTAGAAGGCCCCTGATGGGGCCAGAAAGGTGTGGGTAGGAATGCTCTGATGGCAGGCTGGTGATGTTCCTCTGGTCACTATCTTTTAAAAAGAGTATTAGCCTGTCCTTGCAGTGCTCCAAACATCGGGCTAAACAACCCGTGTAGTCAGCTTCAAACTTACATCACAGGTTTTGTTATAACAGTAAAAATGGAAAATAACATGTTGTCCCAAATTCCTTATAGGAGAGGCGAGAAGTAAATGAATTGAACTCCACTGATTATATGGAATCATCCATATCCCACCTATAAACAGGCAAGATAGTTACTACCACTGCAAAACTTCTAAAATCGTAGATTGTGTTAAACATATTTCAAGAAAACTGGCAATTTTATTCTATAGCTCAGGAGCAATATAACGGAAACCAGGAGAGACTGGCTATTTAAGTATACATGTATATCTGAAGCCAAGTCAAAAATATTGTTTTAATTATAACTTTTTATTAATTATTACATGAGCCACCGCACTTTCAAACAATGCAAACAAAAGTTTGCAAGGCAAGTTATGCAAAATCAAATCAGTGTTTTCCCTACGCCTGTCTCAAAAGATTTAGATCCCTCCGTTCATTTCAACCATTCAACTTTTGCAATAACACCAAGATGAGGAATTTCTTTATCCTTCAGGAATTAACTCTAAAAAAACACATGACTCTGCACATCTGCTCATCTGGATCTCCGATCATCCCTCATCATCAGCTGATGGCAGACACAGTCTGTGGATTCCCCACTCAGTACACTAGAGAAGCCTGCTTCAATCTGGTGTCCTCCGGACACCTATTTTCCCCCCTCATCATTTTTTTCTGGCTTAAGCTCTGCTAACTGGAGCTAATAATTCTACTTTCCACCTGGGGAAAAGCTGCTCTGGAGGCCTAATATCGGCTCTAAAGGCTTCTGAAATCTGGAGAAGAACCACTGACAACAAAGCCTCCCTTGCCACTCTGCACTTCAGCAGACAACTATTTTAATTTCCTGCAATTCCTGTGAGATAGGATGGGTCCCCTGCAAGCTAAGCCACCGCCCTGTGCACTCTGACCTGTGACCTCTGCATTTTAATAAAAGAGATAATGGGGATTTATTTCTGCTATGTTCTACTTAAGCCCAAGTGTACATGTGCTGTAACTTAATTTAGGCTTATTTCTAAGGAAACATGCCAAGAATTGGTCTGTCAAGAGTTGCAAACATGGCATATTAATTTCAAGCTATTAAAAGGCCAGAGTGCGTTCTTTGCTAACATTGTTGCAAGGAACTCGACTAGTTTCTCAGAGATAAAACTCTGGAAAGTACTGTCTTGTTTTTCCGACAGCAAAGCCAAATACCCTGTTTGTTTAGCTTTTTATTTCTAAATCGTCCGCATTCCGGATCTTGACCTACACAGTATTGTCCGTTTCCCTTAAAAACGTTGTGTGTGGAGGAGGTGCGTGTTGTGATTTCGTTCACAGACGCTCAAGCAGGAAGATACAAATGGGGAGCATCAGAAGATGATGCAGCAGATTACCCCAATCATCCTTACACCCACTGCAAGAGTGCACTGGCACAGGTCTTCTCAGCCCTGACACTGGCAGCATTACCCCCACCCCCATTCACGACTAGAATATTCTTCTCTTGGCCTCGCTGTCAAGTTACTCGGGCTTGAAAAATATCTTTAAAAAAGAAGTTCGACTCGTACACGTGTAAGGGAGCAAGTGCGTAGGTTCCAGCTAAACACGAGGAGGCTTCCAAGAACAGGAAACAATCCTTTCAACTTGTGGGAAAGCTTACATAAAAGCCTCTTGGCAGGCAAAGCAAGGGGGGGGCGAGCAAGGCACAGGCAAGTCCCCTCTTCCCGAGGCTGAGGCATGGAAATGGGGACGGGCGGGGAGGGAGGGAGTTCAGGCGACCGCCCGGACCCCAGAAAGGGGCGCCACGGGGCTTATCCCGCTCCCAACTGCGCGCCAAAGAGCCCGCGCTTTGTCGCCCTCGCCCACCCGCTCGCCGGCACAGGGGCTGCCCGCGCCTCTTGCCCCGCCGAAGGGGCCGCCCAGACGCCTGCCATGCCCCCGCCCCGCCATTCCCTCGAGGGCGCCAAAGCACGGGCTGCTCTCCCTCGCCCCTCTTTTCCTCCCTCCGCCCCTTCGCGGTGTGTGTGTGTGGGGGGAACACAGGGGCTCCGTGCCGGCTTCCCTCCCCCCCCCTCCGCGCGGAAGGAGGCACTTTGGCGCGACCACACCGCGCGCTCCCTTACCTTCCTCTCTAGAGACTCCCGCTCAGTTGGCGGCGCCCGCCGAGAAAGGGGTTGAGAGGAGAGGCGGCCAAGGGCGTCTGTTTGCGGGTGGGTGGGTGATTGGGTTGAGGGGACGGACTTGGCAGCTCGGCCTCGCTTGCAACCCGCGGGACCAACTCGCGCTGGCTCTGCGTGCGTGGGTGGGTGGGGGTGTTTTGTGTGTTCCCACGCTTCCGGTTAATGTCACAGGAGTCACACAGTCCAGCCTTCTCGGTGCCTCTTGGAGCCCGTT